AAATTAAAAAAAAAAAAAAAAAAAATCAAAATCAAAACATATGAAAGGGAGGCTTTAGTATAAATTAGCCTAAATTAAATTGAAGATTTACTATTTTAAAATTAAATATCACTTGTTTAGTTTGAAATTTATTTTATTTTAGTCTAAGGAGTTTGAAGTTTCTAAATTTAGTTGATCCATTTGTTTTTGATTAGTTAATTTTTTTTTTAATATAAAGAATATAATCTTTATTACTCTATTCACCTCTCGAATTCCATCGAAATAAACCACATGCTCCACTGTTCGCACGAGTCCCATTAATTCCTTTGAGTTTCCTTCTTCTAATCTCGAGGAACGAGTAAACTTCACACAAACACACCAAAAACGAGTTCCACCAAAGCAAATAATTCCGCTTGAAAAGTCAAACCCAAGATTTGGAGTGACTTGTGGAGAAATATAGAAAAGAAGATCAAACATTAATGAAAGACTTGACCTCGTGACAATCAATTACTCAATAGTCAATGGCATTCCTTGACAACAACTTCATTTCAAATGCTTATGTTCTAACTCCATTTCTTCATCTTTGACCGACTCCCCGTAGATGGAAGGAGCTGCCTGGTGATCCCTAGATTACGGTACGTCTGATCGTTAACTCCTCGCGCCACCACCACTGTTTCTAGGACCGACCGACGCCACACATTCAACATAGTGTTCGAACTCATGTGCCTTCCAGAACCAGAGGTCTTCGAACCGGTTGTGTAGGATGATGCAGTTCGAGGGTGTTTTCCATTTTTTCCTCATCTTCTTCATTTTCCATCTGGTTTTTGGTTCTACAACTCTGAAACAAAGAGATGAAGAGCTTAAAGCTTTGCTTCAATGGAAGTTAAGCCTTCAAAACAATTCACAAGCTCTCCTTCCTTCATGGAAACTACTCCCACTTCCAAATACAAACTTAACAAATCCTTGCAATTGGGAAGGCATCACTTGCAACAATGCTCTCATTGTCAATCATATCATTCTCACAGACATTGGTTTGATAGGTACTCTCGACGACTTCGACTTCTCGTCGTTCCCCAATCTCCTTACGCTCGATCTCCATGGCAACCGCCTTTTCGGGACTGTCCCGCCTTCGATCGGGAAGCTTCATGAACTAACCAAGCTCAACCTCAGCAACAATGGCTTAGAAGGAAGCATACCAAAGGAGGTTGGCAAGCTGCTGAAGCTTACTTCATTGAGCTTCTCACAAAATCGTCTTTCGGGTTCGATCCCAACAACGATCCGAAACTTGAGGAGTCTTTCAGCTCTGAATCTGGGAAGAAATCATCTTTCTGGCTCAATCCCATCTGAGCTAGGTGAATTGGCTTCTCTTGTTGATCTTCAAGTGCATTTAAACAACCTGACCGGTTCGATCCCGACGTCTTTAGGCGATCTTTCCGGCCTAAAAGTTCTGTCCCTCTATGGGAACCAATTTTCAGGTGAGCTGCCCAAAGAGATCAACAAACTCACCAATTTGACTCATTTTTTCCTCTCAAACAACACCATCTCTGGCTCTTTACCACAAACTCTGTGTCATGGAGCCTTATTGCAGTGCTTCTGTGCTAGTAACAACAACTTCACTGGCTCTGTCCCAAAGGGCCTCAAGAACTGCACCAGTCTAACACGACTTCGCCTCGATCGGAACAGATTTCATGGAAACATATCCGAAGATTTCGGTGTGTATCCAAACTTGGATTATATCGATCTCAGTTACAATGATTTCTACGGCGAAGTTTCGCCGAATTGGGCGAAATGCCGACTTCTCACGAGCTTGAAGATCTCCAACAACAAGATTCATGGAGAGATTCCAACAAAACTTGGAGAATCAAGTCTTTTACATGTTCTTGACCTGTCTTCCAACAATCTTTCAGGACAAATTCCCAAAGAATTTGGAAATTTAAAGTCCTTGATCAACCTTACTTTGAGCAGCAACAAGCTTAATGGCTATATGCCTCAAGAACTTGGTGCCTTACCTGATCTATCATACATTGACTTAGCTAACAACAATCTAAGTGGGCCAATACCAAAGCAAATAGCTGATCTTTCCAAGCTCTTCTACTTAAACTTAAGAAGCAACACCTTAGGAGAAAGCATTCCTATTGAGCTTGGCAATCTAGCCAACCTGCAGCTCCTGTTAGATCTCAGTGACAACACATTTTCCGGGGCAATTCCGACACGACTTGCGAATCTCGTGAAACTAGAAGTACTAAACCTCTCCCACAATCAGCTATCTGGGTCGATCCCGACTTCTTTCGTTCATATGAAGAGCCTACGACTCGTCGACTTTTCATCCAACGACTTGGAAGGTCCAATTCCTGAGAGCAAGGCTTTCGAAGAGGCATCGGCCGAGGCGTTCGAGAACAACAAAGAACTATGTGGAAACCACACGAGCTTAAAGAGTTGTCCAATTCAAGAGAAGGATAAGAAGAAGGGAGCTATTTCTTCACTTCTTTTGATTGTTATTCCTTCTTTTGGAGCTTTGTTCTTAGCATTATGTTTAGGCATTAAATTTTTAAGT